ATTGGCATCTCTTATGTTCTTATGACTTGACAGCACCTTAAGCACACACTTTAAGCGGGGGCACTCTTCCCCTGCGTGGGCTTAACGCAAAGTCAAGTGCCCATTACAGATCAGGGAAACTATACGGCAACAATTAAGCCTCCTCACTGCCAATGCTTTGGAAGTGATCACCCACCACTGTCTTGGACTGCTTTTTTTTTTTTAATCCCCTGAAGGCAGGGTAGCTTTATTAATTTTTGTTACACCTACATGACTACAAAGAGGGAAAAAAAGAAGAGCAGAAAAAGAAAAAATTGGGGAGGTGGAGGGAAGAGGAAGGGAAAAAAAATAACAAACTAAAACAATAAACCCCAGGATACAGACAGTATAAAAGAAAAAGACCCCACACTATAACTAAATACCCAAGAAAGAAAGGTCATTAACAGTTAGTACCTAGTTAGTTATAAAAAATTAAAGCTTTTGTTTAAGTCAATGAATTAAGGAGATTAGTGAGTCCATTTTAGTAAATGTCTATTTTCTTCTCAGTGTGCTTTTTAAGGTCAAGCAAGCCTGGCGTCCCAATCGCCCGACTCCAGCATCATGGGTCACTTCCCTGTCTCCTGCAAAAAGCCTACCCCCGACCTGCCAGTCTGTCCTCGCTCACCTTCTGAATCATCACTCCTCTTCTCCTCGTCTTCATCAGCAGATTGCTCAGGATTCTGGGAGATGGAGAGACTGTGTGACACAGGCTACCAGGACAGGCAACCCTTCCTCAACACCTGCTTGCCCTTCCACAGCACAACCCCAGCTCCATCGAGCTCAGGCTGCAGGTAGCTTTTAACATGCCTGACAAACCCACTTCTGCGGTGTTTACAAAGACAGCGGCTCCCTTTCCGCAAAGTGTTTCTCAACTGCCCCCCTGGAAGTCCTTCGCCCTGCAGTATGGGGTACCTGGCGATAGGAAGTGATCTGGGTCTCATAATCCCGGTTGTACTTCCGGATCTTCTGGCGGAGGGTGCTCAGCGCCTTGGCGTTGTTCTTGTTCATCTTCTTCTTGCCTTCCTTGTCCTCCCATAGCTACGAAGGATGGGAAAGGAGGGAGAAGCAACTAAAAATGGCAAGCAGCCTTCTGTTCCACAAAGCTATTTTTTTTTCTCCCTCCAAAAACAGGCAATGTAGGAAAGATCATCTCGCCCTCCTGGCTTCTCAGTCAATGCTGGATGTGATGGGGGGTGGGGAGGTCCTGCCCCATTCACATATGAAGCACAGGATGTCTAAAGGATTTGCCTGTATTGGAGCCGAGATCCAAGAAGGGTGGCTGGAGCATCCGACCAAGGAGAGGCATGGGAAAGCTCAGCTCTTTTGAACGCTCCTTGCAGTTACAGTAATAACCCTTCTGACTTCTACAGAGAAACTGGACGACCTTATGAAAACAGTTGCTGTAACCACATCTCGTTTGCTTCCTGGGATTTACTCGCCACCAGGATCGGCCTGCCCACCCGCACTACAAGAGCTACTGCAATGGATGCTGCTTCACTCATTCCCCATGCAGGTGCCTTCTCAGTACCCAGACTAGCAGGAGTTCTGCTGCTCAACAATGGTGCAGCACCTTCCCCTTCAATAGGCCTCCTCATTTTACCCCCACGAGATGGGAAAG